CGTCTTGCAGCGCTGTAACAGTGGACCGGCCTGGCGAAAACCCATGCTGGTAGTCAGATATACCCCTCATTAGACTCGGGGCACACCTAAGCAGAATTCGCTCCAATATTTTTCCAAAAATGGGAAGGAGCGTAATCGGGCGATACGCCTTGGGGTCCGTCAATGACCTGCCGTTACCTTTCGGAATCACTATCAACCGTCCGTTCTTCCATACGTCCGGGAAAACTCCCTCTTCCACACATTTGCGATACACCCAGTGAAATTCCCTGGGTGTGGCCCTCTATACATTCTTTAACACTTTTGCGCTAATCCCGTCCAGTCCCAGAGCAGTGTTAGGCAACGCCCTGACTATGGCCCCCAAACACTCAATGGTTGGGGGAACGGCAACTGCTCGGCCATAAGGCGGCCATAAGCCGAACACGCCCCTCGTATTCTGTGTCCTTGGACGCATCGTCGTCTGGGCACAGAGCCCCTAGCAGGTCCTGCATGGCCTCCCTCACCCCCCCCCCCCCCAGAATGTCGCTATTCAATAGCATTAATTATATTGCTAGGAGGACGATATCGCCCACTTGCGATCTGGTATGCCCGTCCCCAGGGGTCAGTGTTTCCGACCTCTGCCATTTTTCTAAAATAATGCAGCTCCGTGTCCCCCATCAGCTGTCTATATCGCACTCTCACACTATGGAAACATTCCATAGCTAGTTCCTCAGACCTGCCTCCTTTCTTTCTTTCTTTCTTCTGCCATACCCTTCTCGCATTACACACTTTCTTCCTCATTCCATCAAGTTCAGGCGTCCACCACTCATAGCCGGCCTCCCGTCTAGGGCGCGCAGTCCCCAGAACATCCTCCGCAGATCGGGCTACAATGTCCGTGAACTGCTCACAAAGAATGTTTCCCGGCTGTCTAACATTTAGTGCTCCCATTCGTACATGAACAGTACCGCGAAAGAATCCCCAATTAACCCCCCAGTCCCGAAAACGGGCAGGCACCCCAACCGACTCCGGGAGCCCGGCATGGCTGACTCCTCCAATCCTATATGTAATGAGCCTGTGATCGCTAGAGCTGACGCTATCCAGGACTCGCCACTCTGTAACCAAAACCCCTCTGGATAGAAGAGTAAGGTCAATATTGGACTCCCCCCTTGCACCCGAAAAAGTGCTTGGTTGGCCTTCAACATTGGCCACCACGAATCCCCGTGCTAAGATGAAGTCTTCCATCATTTTACGGCGGTGCTCTTCTTCATGGCCCCTACCTGTGATCTGATCAACGTCACAAAACCAGAGTGGCGAGTGCGCGTTGCAATCTACTCCGATTACGACGCGCTCGCCTCTCAACTGGTCAAGTACGGTCTCTAGATGTTGCAAGTGACTTTCGATGTTGTGGCTATATTTAAAATAAGCTGAGATGACGTAGAGACCGTACTTCTCCACCTGGCATACCACGCAATAGGGGTTAGAAAGGTGTGGCAGTCCAGCAACTCCTAAGTTATTATTAAACACCTTTATGCCAGCCTCCGACCCCTCGCCAAATCGAATCAGTTCCTGTGCCTGCGACCACTGCTCCTGGACTAGGACAAAATCCAGGCCCAGTTCTGCGGCAATTGCTGGCAGCTCTTTGGGGGCTACCTCTCCCCGTCCCAAATTATATGCCCTATATTTAGGTATTTTTCAACCGCCATATTGCGTGGTGTTGACCGCCTTTTCTTCTGCGTACACCCTAGCCGGGCACTCCTTCGCCATCGTGGCATGAGATTTGGCGCCCGGCTTGCCATACCTCTTGCAAGTGGCACAACAGACCTCAGTTGAGGTGCAGTCCTCCCTTGCATGGCCTTCCCCTCCGCATTTGCCACACGTCACCTCTTTGGCCCTGCAGTACTTTGCCGGGTGGCCATACTGCTGGCATCTCTGGCAGCAGGTGACATCGACGAAGTCACACGGCTCGACCACGTCCCAACCTACGTAAAGCCTTCTTCAGGCCGTCAGCGCATCCCTTAGTCCAGGGGAACACCGCAGCACAATTGTAGTCCTGCGACTGCCTCTCCACGACTTTTTAAATGCCACCTTACAGTTTTTCTTTAGCTCCTCTAGGGTCCACACCTCGTACTCTCCAAAATTTTGGTCGTGGAGGGCAGGCAGAAGCTCCTCGCTATTTACATCGTCCTCGAAACCTCTTAAAGCCACAAGTGGCAAGCGCTGCCTAGGCTCTGTCACTCTGAGCGTTGGTGGCGCCACTGATCTCAGCTTCTGAGCACATTCCTGGGACGTGGTCTCGACCACTACCCCCGCATTCCCAACCTTCCTTTCTTTGCTTTCTTTAATTCAGCCTTTGTGTCATCCGCCGTCTTGAGGTGCTCCTGTTCGCCTGCTGGGTAAAATGCCAAGAACGGACCTGATTTTTCTGGAATTGGCAACGCTGCCACACCCTTTGGCATCCGTAAAATCGACGCGAACGTAGCAGGGGCGAGATCCCCGTCACCTCAGTGTGCACGCGCGGTCTCCGGGCGCGCCAGCTTAGCCTCTGCTTGAGATCTGTCTCTTTCTGATCTGCAGAACGCAAGTTGAGCTTCTATTACGTGCACTTGCATCGCCGCCACCAATGCGATCAGGTCGTGCCCGGTCACCGAAACCATGTTTACTTCCATTTTATTCAATTTTGAGCCCGGCCCAGAGACGATGCCCATAATTGTTTTGATGGCCGCTCGCGTGTGCTCAATGATCTCAAGTCGCGTGGCTGTGGACGCATCGAAATCTTCTTCCATCGCCCCCAAGTCCTCCTCATGCAGTTCTGGAGTAGCTGCGACCGAAGCCACAGTCCCGCCTTTTTTCTTTTCTTTTTCTTTTTCCAGTTTTTGTCGCTGCGTCACTGGCTGCGGCTGGTCCGGAGACGTGAGCGGTCGCTTCTACGGAGCCGCACTCGAGCCTCCCTTGGGTTCTGCGAGCTGGGGCCTGCAGCAGGCCTCGCCGGAGCACCCTGGGGGGGGGCGTTCGCGCCGGCGACTTCCGCGGCACAAATAGGGGGGATTCGTCCCCCATTATAGCAATATAGGTCCCTTTTCAGTTCAAAGTATGATAACAATCAAAATAAAATAAAAGTATTATAAAAATAAAAATTTACAGAAGATGTGAACTTCAAAATTTTAACTGCCGGAGGGGCATACCCAAGGATTTACATCTATATGGGAGCGAAAGGTTCACACAATTTTCGAAAATTTTTACAAGTCCAAAAATAAATAAAAATTAAGAGTCAATTTTCCAGATGGTCGCTAGATGTCTGGGTGTGGGACAATACACCAGCGCCCTCTAGCGGAACACACTCGGACTAAAGAAAATAAAATAAAAGTACAAAATTTAAAAATCCTAAACCACTAAGTGTCACTGTCATAAGCCTATATACAGATGTCGCTAGGCACTTAGCATCTATTGTGGCGCCATCTAGCGACATCAGCCTAACCTAAAAGTAACCAACAAAACTATGACTAAAAATCTTAACTACAGTGTCACTGCCACAAATATTACAAAAAAAAAGTTCCACTTAGCTAACACATATGGCGCCGAGGCACAGGCGGTCGCCGGCGCCGCTCGGAGGACCCTCCGTCTTGGGCGTTCGGGGGCACTCGGTAGTGCCATGATCGCCTAGGTACTTGACGCACCTAGGCCGGGCGAAACAATTCCTGGCCGAGTGGCCGTATAATTGGCATCGGTGGCATTGGCCAACGATGCCCCTATTACGCGGGGACTCTACAACAATCCCCGTGAGATTGCATATCCGTGAAATTTTAAATATCTCTTTGCCCTCTGGAAACAGGTCGAGTATTACTAGACAAAGATCAAAGTAACGTTTTTTGTCGGTTGGATGGTGCATCCTGTGCACTTCTCTAACAGGCAGATTTTGCGATTTAAGATCGCTTAATATGTGCTCGGTTTACACGGAGGTTACGGTCCTCCGCGAGAGAGTAAGTGTGGAAGCTCAGATTCTGAGCTTTAAGGTGCGCAGTTAAAGCGCGGAAATCGTCCGTCGTTGCGACGTGGATACGGATGCCCTGTGGTCCATTGTGGACTTTGGGGCAGAATATGTTTTTGGAGTCTATATCCACTTGGATAGGTTGCTCCAGCGCGATTTGTCCTGAAGGATTATTGGGGGGGGGGCGGCTTCTCCTTTCTAGGTCCGTCCTGAGTCGGGTTCGCGGTTCGGCATTACGTTGGGCTAGGAAAGCAGACCAAGCGTCGGGGCACACTTGACCGAAGAAGTCGGCGAGTTCGGCTATAGTAATAGCCGCCATCTTGTCAGTGGTTAGAAAGCACTTGTGTATCAAGCCCCCCCCCACCTTTCGGCGGGGGAGGTGTGTGCCTAAACGAACACTTATACAACTAGCGCGTTAGTACGCAGGGTGTGTACCTAGCTGTCGCCTAATGCGACAAGCGAACACAGAATTTAAGCAATAGAATTGCTGCCTCTGAGGCAGCGGGTGTGCAATAAACTACTTTTTTTTTACTTTTTTTTAAGTTTTTACTGGAAATCCGGAGAACGTGGGGCACTAAAACTAGCACTACACACAATAAAACAATGGGCCAACAGAACAATGGGCCGGCGGCCCGATGTGCCTAGCGGCGGTAAGGAAGCACAACGACACTGTGCACTGGCGCGAATAGGTAAAATGTCTTTGTTTTCTTTCTTGAGAACAACGCACTGGGAGCGCATGGGCTCGACCGAACAACTGCACTTCATGGTTAGGTCGCAGGCGACCGTACGCGGTGAGGTACCTGATCGGACTCCACTCACTCAAGGACTCACTCGGACGGACTCGGACTCTGCGAGCTTGAGCTTGCTTCAGCTCCATGCGTGCTAATTATTTTCTAGCTTCCAGCTCCCGTCTCCTGGCTGAGGAGCTCGTGGTCTTCATGGACCTGGCGCGACGACTGACCCCCTTTGGCTTAAGGGTTGTGGCAGAGCTATGAACGCCCTTGTCTGGAATATCCTCTGGAGTCTTCTTGGCCGTCTCCTACTGTGCGGCTTCATCTTTCTGTCCGTTATCTTCGGACGCCGCCGTGGTGGCAGTTGCAACCGTGGTCTCTGTCGTGGTGGTATCCTCTGTGGTCGTAGTGCCTGAATAATCTGATGTAGTTGCTGTTCCTGATGACGCTGACACTGACGCAGACGTGACCCCTTCTGATCCCGAAATTTCACCTGTCGCGTCCTTATCTGAGGGACAGGATCCGGGACGTGAGGGGGGCATCCTTCTGTGACCTGGTAACCGGCATCTTGAACGGATTCTTCTATATACTTCTAGCAGGGATCCGGATTTCGAAGGACCAACTGTTTTGGACGGCATGGACACATCCAGTGTCCGCAGTCGCCCTGGGACAATCTCCCACTTGATGACGTACATTCCTTGCTTAGTGCTGGTGACGCACGTTCCATGCACCCCTGAATGCGTATGTATAATACGACCCCACTGGGACCTCGAGAGAGAGAGAGATAGACGATCAGCCGGGAGGAGGCAATTAAAACACTTTTTTCCTAGGTAGCTTCTTGTTCCTTAGGTTTCGGCTTCCTTTTTCCTTGTTGTTGTAGCCTCTTCGACGGCTGTGCTGCGAGTGCGATTTGAGCCGAAATTTGCTCAACTTTTATACCCGCCAGCGTTACCGTACGGACGTTAGCGCGGTTTTTTCCTGTCTCGCGTGTTGTTTTTATTTCGAGCCGAAACCTTAGGAGCCTTTATTTATTAAAACTTTCACATAACCCTTACAAATTATACATTGTTAGATTGCTCTAGTAATGGTCTATAATATAAAATAACAATATAAACTATTAAGTTCTTTATACAAAACTTCTAGAGCAAAAAACCCTACAAAATTGTTAATTTACTATACATTTTGTCTTATATTTATTGAAACAGATGTCTGATCTACTTATTTCTTTTTGTTTACATTATGTTACATATAAACCTTTAATCTAACACCAGTTTTCAAGCGTTAAACAAAACTTAAATTTTTTATAAGTATTTACAATACAAATTCTTGCTTAAAAACTTCCTTACAAAATTATTATTAAAAGCAAACCTTTTAATTTTATAACTATATTCAAATTATATTCTAATATGAGTTAATACGCTAATTACACCAATTGAGAAATTATAATGGTCTTAAAACACAGTTCGTCACTTGGTAAATTATGCTTTGTCGCAGGCGCTACTACACTAATTAAGAAATTATAATAGTTTTAAAACACAGTTCGTCACTGGTCAATTGTGTGCTTTGTCGCCGACATTCTCCCCCTCGTGCGTCGCACCATCCTCCTGGCTCGGCGATACTCCCGGCACCAGCAGCACTACTCTCGAAGTGGGTCTTCTCAGCACACCTCCACGCGTCTCGACGTCGACGATCCTTGTTCGCCCATCAGGTCCAGGATACACTTGGGAGATTCTGCCGCGTGGCCAGGTGCATCTTGGTAGGCTGTGGTCGACGATCAGCACGATGTCTCCAACTTGCAGGTCTGTGGCACTGGTTCTTGCCTTCATCTTCCTTGGCAAGAGAGTGGGTAGATATTCTCGCAGCCAACGTTGCCAGAAGTGGTCAGCAAGCCGCTGCGTGGCCTTCCATGTAGATCTGCCCACGAGTTCGTTGTCGTTGACGCTGCCGATTCTCGCTGCGCCGCAGGACCGCCCGATGAGGAAGTGGTTCGATGTTAGTGCTTCTTCTTCAAGGTTCTCAGAGAGGTGTGTGAGAGGTCGAGAGTTGACTATGTGCTCGGCCGCTAGGAGGAGAGTGATGAGTACCTCCTCTCGTGGATACTTTTCGTGAAGTGTGGCGTCTAGTGCGTTCTTGACTGATCGTACCAAACGTTCCCATGCGCCACCTATATTTGGCGCACCTGGAGGGATGAATTTCTACTGCACGCCGATCTTCTCCGCTTCTGAGGTGAGGTCTTCTTGCTGCAAGGTGCCGAACGCTTCTTTTATTTCTTTGTTGGCGCCGACGAAGTTAGTCCCGTTGTCGCTGTAGATTTTCTTAGACATCCCTCTTCTTGCGACGAATCGTCGCAGCGCCATGATCATGCTGTCGGTGGAGAGCGAAGGAGTCAGCTCAATGTGCACAGCCCTTGTTGTGAGGTATGTAAATAGAGCCTCCCATCTCTTTTCGTGTCGTCTTGCCACGGTGATTGTCATCGGGCCGAAGTAGTCCACGCCCGTGCACGTAAAAGGGGGATATCCGTGCATCAGCCTTTCCGCCGGTAAGTTGCCTGTTGGTATTTCTTGAGGTGTAGCTTTCCTTGTTTTGCACCATTAACGTTGATGCTGAACCGCCTTGATTGCTGACCTTAGACCAAGTATCCAGAAGCGTTGTCGTATTTCATTCATCACCGTCGCGTGATATCCATGATTGAAGCGGCAGTGGAATTCTTCTATGATGAGTTGTGTTGTCTTGTCCTTGCTGTCGAGCACGATGGGTCGTTTGTAGTCCCTGGTCACACCCTGTATCGAGTCGATTCTTCTTTTTAGCCGCAGGAGACCGTCTTCTATTACAACGTCGAGCCTTTTCAATTTACTGCTGCCCTCTAATTACTTTCCTTGCTGAAGGCGCTTGATGTCTTCTCTGAAACTGTTGTCTTGGCTTCTTTTCAGCAAAAAAGTTTCAGCTTTCTCGAGTAGTTCGATCTCCATCGGTATATATTTCCTTTCTGTTATTTTTGAAGATCTGTGTTGCTTTTCTGCGGTCTTTGTTCCTTTTCTTTGTGTCATATTCCAGCTGGGATCCTTTTTGCAGATGTTGACCTTCTCCCTTTTTCTGCAGAGTTGTAAGAACTGCAGTACCCTCGCTGTGGCTCGCCAAAGCCTCTTCCATGAAGAGAATCTCTCCGGGTCTGGTGATGGATGAGATGTTTGTGTTGTTGCTGCAACGTCCGCTGCCCTTTCTTCGCCGGTGGTTGTTTTCTTGAAAGTTCTTGGTGTCGGCCAATGTGTCTCTTCTTTTTTCAGGAAGCTTGATCCGGTGTACCATCGGTGGGTGCAGTTGAAGTCTTCTGGTACGTCGCGTGTTGCGTCATCTGCAGGATTCTGCGCTGTAGGTACCCATCTCCAATCTTGCGGTTTGGTGAGGTCCTCTATCTTCGCTAAGCGATGAGCCACGAACGTCTTGAAGGTTCTCGGGTCTGTTTTTATCCAGGAAAGTACGATGCTGGAGTCCGTCCAAAATATTTTCTTTGTTACTTTTAGGTCCAATTCTTCTTCAGCTGAATGAGCCAGTCTGCTTCCTAGGAGGGCTTCCTGTAGTTCGAGTCTCGGGATGGACACTGGCTTTAGTGGGGTGACTCTCGCCTTTGCTGCCACTAAGCTGACGTGGTAAGTTCCATCTTGCCCTTCTGTCCTCCAATAAACTGCTGCTGCGTACGCTAGCTCGCTTGCATCAACGAAAGTGTGTAGCTCCCCCTCGGTGCAATGTGGCGCCAGGCATCTCGGAACTTGCAGGCCTTGGAGCAGCTACATCTTCTCCAGGTAGTTTTTCCATGCTTCGTACTCCCTTTCTTTTTATTTCGTCATCCCAACCGACGCCAGTTCGCCATATGTTCTGAAGCAGCTTCTTGCCTTGGATGAGAACTGGTGATGCTAAACCAAGCGGATCAAAGGTCGACATTACTGCTCTGGTAACTTCCCTCTTCGTAGGCACCTTGAGTCCTCTTGCTATTTCTTCTGGTGTATTTTGGAGGTTTGCCCTGAAGCCGATGGAGTCCCTTTTGGTGACCCAACGCAGTCCTAATGTCTTCTCTTCCTTCTCGCCTAGGTCCACTTCTGTCTTCTCAATAGAGTCGATCTTCACGTCTTGTAGCAGCTCCGGTTGATTTGACGCCCATCCCATGAGTTCGAAGCCTGCCTTCTTGTGTATGAAGTCCACCTGCGTCGTCACTTTTCTAAAGTCTTCTTCTGAGTGGGAGCTGTGCAGGTAATCGTCCATGTAATGGTTTCGCTCGACCGCCCTTGCTGCCTCTGGATACTGCTCTTTGAAGTCCGCTGCGTTTCGGTTCTTCACATAGATTGCGGTGCTCGGAGATGATGTTGCGCCGAAGATGTCATCCTGTACTCCTTTGGAGGCACGTCGCGACGAGCCCCGCGCCACAAAAACCTCAGGCTATCTCTGTCTTCTGATCGAATGCGAACTTGAAGAAACATTTCTTTGATATCGGCAGCTAGCGGGCCCTATCGAAACCTTAGTAGTATCCCGAAGAGCGAATGTAGTAGATCTGGTCCTGGCAGAAGAGCATCGTTAAGGCTTCTTCCCTTTGACTTGGCTGCAGCGTCGAAGACGATCCTTATCTTTTTCTTCAGTGGATGTACTACGGAGAAGTGAGGGGGGTACCTTTTCTTCTTGGAGTCCTTTTGTGTCATAGGTGCTTCTTCTGCATACTTGCTGTCAATAAGATGCTGGATCTGCTTGATATATTCTGCCTTCAGCTGAGGGTCCTTATCCATCTTCTTTTCAATATTGAACAACCGGTTCTTTGCAGACGAATAGCTCTCAGGCATCTGTTCATCTTCATTTTTCCATAAGAGTCCAGCTTCGAATCGTCCATCTTCTTACTTCATCATCATCTTGTTACTTCTTCTTGTGTTTCCGCCTTCTTCTCTCCCGAGGTCCTGTTTTCTGATTCAACGTGCAGCAAATGATGATGCCACCTCTTGTATTCCTTACATGGTGGTTTCTTGCAGCTCTCCTTTCGATGTTTTCCTTGAATAAATTTGAAGCAAACGTGACTTTTCTTTACTGTTGCCCATCGGTCTTGCACTGACGTCTTCTGGAACTTCTGGCAGTCGACGGGGAAGTGTCCACCTTGGCACATAGGACAAGTCTTTTCTGTAGACTGTCTTGTATCTTTTTCTTTAAAGTCCTTTTCCCTCGTAGAATTCTTCTTCTGAACCCGCTTCTCTTCTGAGGTCGCGAAGGCTCCACATTTGTCTGCTTCGCTGTTCAGGAACTTGGAGACCATTGTCAGGTCAGAGAACTCGCCCTCTTCTGTTGCTGCCGTGAAGTCATACCATCGGAACTTCAGGATTGTAGGCATTTTTTCTATAATTTGCTTTACCATTTCAGGTGAATGCAGGTACTGCGGTTTCTTCAAACCTTTTATTGCTGCTACGCTGTTGTTGATTTGGCTCGCAAAGACGCATATATCTCTTGGATTTTCGAAAATCTTTGGTAACGCCCTGACTTTCTCCAATTCAGCCAGCACCAGCGCATCAGGTCTTCCATATAGTCTCCTGAGGGCCTGCATTACTTCCAATGGAGAGGCTTCAGAGTACAGCAGGCTCTTGATAGCTTCTCTTGCGTTGCCTTTTAGTGCTCTTCTTAGTCGAGCCATGTTTTGGACTGCGTTGAACATTGGGGCGGTATCTTCGTAGACCACCTTGAAGGCCAACCACTCACTGCTGTTGCCATCGAAGTAGGGTAGCTCGTGGATATACTTTGGCTGAGCTACTGGTCCTCCTCTTGTGGTAAGGGCTTCCTTCAATGCTATCGTCAGCGCTTGAATTTCGCTCGTATCTTTTTTCGTTGAGGAGTTCTCTTCAGGCTTCACATTTGGCTCTTCCGGAGGGTGCTGACCTCGTTGCTCGTGTTTTCCCATGTTGTTTTCTTCCATTACTGATGTTTCGCTCCAGTTCTGAATCTGTGCTGTTCTGTCTTCCTGGTCTTCATCCACGGAGTCCTCTTCTTCATATTGTGCCAGCTTTAATCTGACGCGTGCTAGCTTCGCCGCAGCTTAAGCTTGCTTCAGCTCCATGCGAGCTAATTCTTTTCTAGCTTCCAGCTCCCGTCTCCTGGCTGAGGAGCTCGTGGTCTTCATGGACCTGGCGCGACGACTGACCCCCTTTGGCTTAAGGGTTGTGGCAGAGCCATGAACGCCCTTGTCTGGAATATCCTCTGGAGTCTTCTTGGCCGTCTCCTACTGTGCGGCTTCATCTTTCTGTCCGTTATCTTCGGACGCCGCCGTGGTGGCAGTTGCAACCGTGGTCTCTGTCGTGGTGGTATCCTCTGTGGTCGTAGTGCCTGAATAATCTGATGTAATTGCTGTTCCTGATGACGCTGACGCTGACGCAGACGTGACCCCTTCTGATCCCGAAATTTCACCTGTCGCGTCCTTATCTGAGGGACAGGACCCGGGACGTGAGGGGGGCATCCTTCTGTGACCTGGTAACCGGCATCTTGAACGGATTCTTCTATATACTTCTAGCAGGGATCCGGATTTCGAAGGACCAACTGTTTTGGACGGCATGGACACGTCCAGTGTCCGCAGTCGCCCTGGGACAATCTCCCACTTGATGACGTACGTTCCTTGCTTAGTGCTGGTGACGCACGTCCCACGCACCCCTGAATGCGTATGTATAATACGACCCCACTGGGACCTCGAGAGAGAGAGAGATTGACGATCAGCCGGGAGGAGGCAATTAAATCACTTTTTTCCTAGGTAGCTTCTTGTTCCTTAGGTTTCGGCTTCCTTTTTCCTTGTTGTTGTAGCCTCTTCGACGGCTGTGCTGCGACTGCGATTTGAGTCTATTATCTTGATGTTAGTGCTGTTAGTCTATGCGACTCTTATAGCTTCATCTTGTCACAGGGCTAGCTAATTAAAAAGGGAAAGGCAATGAGGTGAAAATGATGATGAATGATTTATGATTTGATATTATTATCAATCATCGTGTCGCCTTTTAGGCGTTTTTCTTTGAGCTATCTAACCGCAGTCCGAGGGGGGGTGTGCGGACCCCCGTCTCTGACTGCTCAGCTCGTGTCGGTCGATGGTCTGGGCAGTGAGAACCGTCCAGGAACGCGGGTGTACGGTGTGTACGCGGTGTGAGCTGGAACGCGTCCTCGTTCGTTGTCGTTGTCCTATTTGTGTTTGTCCCATTTAGTGTGGGTGTAGTGTCGTTGTGTGATGTGCCTGCGACGCTTGGGTCGACTGGATCGAGCGATATAGGTGGCTCTATTAAAACATTTCGCGGTCTACGGAGATAGGGCGCGACGTTTGCTATCGGAACGTAGTTAGCTGCGTTTGCCACTAGCGGGTTAGGGTGGGTTTCTACTTTATCAAAGTAGCGTTGGGACATCTCCTTAAAATATTCGGAGATAGATGATAGTTCACAATCATTGTGTAAGTCAGAGTTCCGTTGATACCACCGTGCGCCGGTGGCTTTCCGGATGAAAAAATTTTGTACTCTTTGGAGTTTTAAAATATGGGTCTTATATGTATGGGCGAAAGCTACACTTGCATAGGACATAACTGGTCTAATGCAGGTTTTGTACAGCCGGAGTTTGTGTCTTAGCGACAGTTTACTGTTAACGAGAGGTGTAGACGGCCAATTATTGACTTGGCTCTGTTGCGTACTACACTTATGTGCGTCTTGAAACTCATGCGGGAGTCGAAAGTGACGCCTAGATATTTGGCCGATTTTTCCCAAGGGATTGGGCGGTCGTATAAAGAGATTGTTTTGGGTTTGGAACCTCCTGTAGAATTCCGTTGAAAGTATACTGCTACACTTTTTTCCGGATTCACGTCAATTCTCCATAGGCGAAACCATTCTCCAAGGCGATTGGTCGCTTTTTGGAGTTTTATAGCGAGTCTATTTTTGTTGGGGTCTGACACAAAGAGTGCCGTATCGTCGGCAAAGAGAGCGGTGGAACCCCGGCCTTGAGGAAACGTTTCGAAGAACGAGTTCCGTCCACTCGATATCGAAAAGTGCGGTTCGAAAGGAAAGCTCGTATGATGTGCACGAGCCTATCTGCGATTTGAGTCGAAATTTGCTCATCTTTTATACCCGCCGGCGTTAACGTACGGACGTTAGCGCGGTTTTTTCCTGTCTCGCGTGTTGTTTTTATTTCGAGCCGAAACCTTAGGAGCCTTTATTTATTAAAACTTTCACATAACCCTTACAAATTGTACATTGTTAGATTGCTCTAGTAATGTTCTATAATATAAAATAACAATATAAACTATTAAGTTCTTTATACAAAACTTCTAGAGCAAAAAACCCTACAAAATTGTTAATTTACTATACATTTTGTCTTATATTTATTGAAACAGATGTCTGATCTACTTATTTCTTTCTGTTTACTTTATGTTACATATAAACCATTAATCTAACACCAGTTTTCAAGCGTTAAACAAAACTTGAATTTTTTATAAGTATTTACAATACAAATTCTTGCTTAAAAACTTCCTTACAAAATTATTATTAAAAGCTAACCTTTTAATTTTATAACTATATTCAAATTATATTCTAATATGAGTTAATACGCTAATTACACTAATTGAGAAATTATAATTGTCGTAAAACACAGTTCGTCACTTGATAAATTATGCTTTGTCGCGGGCGCTAACTACACTAATTAATAAATTATAATAGTTTTAAAACACAGTTCGTCACTGGTCAATTGTGTGCTTTGTCGCCAACAAGTATACTTAATAATCGTAGATATGTATTCGAAATGGGTCAAATCATACGAGGGTGGATTGAAAAGTACTCGGCCTAACACAGATCCATTCAATTCTAAAAATCAAATCTACCCACATTATTTAGTTCAGTTCAGACTAGTTCATTGTGTGAAGTTCGAAACGTGTGCGATAATTAGTTTTGATTTTATAAATTTATTAACAAAGTAATCGGACATAATTTCCGCGAATGGAGCAAATCGAGCAGCGTGCCGTCATTAAGTACCTCCATAAGAAGGGGCTATCATCAAAAGTCATCCATGATGACATGGTCAGTACATTAGGCGATTGTGCTCTGTCATATTCATCCGTCAAAAAATGGATAGCACAATTTAAGCGTGGTAGAGAGAGTGTGAAAGATGAACCCCGCTCTGGAAGGCCTTCGACTTCAACTACTGACGAAAATATTAAAAAAGTACTTGATTTAATAATGGGAGATCGCAGATTAAAAATTAGAGAGATAGCCGAGATTATAGGCATCTCTTATGAACGAACTCAAAACATCATTGTCAACGAGTTGGGTTTCCACAAGGTGTCTGCGAGGTGGGTTCCGCGATTGATTTCAGTTGAACAAAAAAGGACGCGATTGACTATTTCACGCGACTGTTTGGAGTTATTTGAAGCCGATGCAGATGATTTTTGAATCGTTTTGTTACTATGGACAAAACATGGGTTCATTACTGTACACCGGAAACAAAACAACAATCAAAACAGTGGAGAAGACCTGGTTCACCACCCCTAAAAAGGCTAAGTCGATTTTGTCGGCAAATAAGGCTTCAGTATTCTGGGACTCGAAAGGTGTGATTATGATTGATTATCTTGAAAGGGGTCAGACTATAAACTCTGATTACTACTGCACCTTACTTCGTCGTTTACGAGAGGAAATAAAAGAAAAACGTCGAGGAATGCTCAGAAGAAAAGTCCTGTTTCATCAAGATAACGCCCGTGTTCACACGTCAGTACAGTCAATGGCTGAAATTCACAACTGTGGCTTTGAACTGTTACCGCATCCGCCGTATTCACCTGATCTGGCACCATCAGACTTCTTTCTGTTCCCTAACCTAAAAAACACTTGGGAGGTCAAAGATTTTCGACAAACGACGAGGTCAAAGCAGCTGTAGACGCATATTTTGACTCTAAGGAAGAATCATTTTTTTTCAACGGTCTAAATGCTTGGAAGGGGAGGTGGCAAAAGTGTATTGAACTTGATGGTGATTATGTAGAAAAATAAAAATATAACTGATTTAGTATGTGTTTATTTTCTTGGTTAGGCCGAGTACTTTTCAATCCACCCTCGTATATAATGAATAGTACGTCTTCATTTAAATACAACTAGGTTTTACGGATTATATAACGTATATTAACATATTTTATGTTCTATATTAAGATATTTATAGGGGGGGTTCCGACGTCCCAATGTCATAGTTAACAACTACCTTCACATTAAATGTGTACGTCTTCATCTGCCGTGTTAGCTAAGTTATACGAATTTATGTCTGGATTCGATTCTCTTTCATACGCTAGTTAGTGACAATGCTTTATAAGCATGCTTCATATCCGAAGAATTTTCACAGTTTTGTGTGTCAAACGGAAAATCGCAGGTGACATCGCTAGCTTATCTTCCGGCTAGTATTAAACAGGCAGAAAGCTGTAGTTATACAAGTAAAGAAGAGTATTAAGTCTTGTTTATTAGATAACAACAATTTGAAAAAAGACTTTTGTTTGTTCAAATATCTCTTCGATTATAGAAACTCAGTGCACATTACAACAAGGCCTTCACCGGCGGAGTTAGTATTTGGCCGGAAACTTTGGTCGCGTCGAGCCTGGATCATTAAGATATACCAATATCGCCGCCATCCTTATCTGACACTCGCTGAAGTGGTCAAACGCAATCAGTCTTTGCAGATTAAAACGTACAAAGGAACAGATAAAAATATTTTAAAAGAAGGGACAGTGTTCTTTATAAAAAAAATGTTAATTAAGGGTCCGTATGAGAAAAAGGCACTGTAATGAAAAAAAATGGTAAAACAATGTTATTGATCAAAGACTTTGTAGCCTCTTTAGTGTTTAAAAAGCACAAAAACCAATTAATGCCGTATATGGAAACAAAAATTAACAACAACACACTAGAGTTCTGTTGCAAT